TTGACATTTTTTCTCCATTTTTCCCTTCCCTTTCCCTCCCACCTCCTCTCTTTCTCTGCTATTTATTTGCAATCTGGACCCCTTTACTCCACTCATCTGAAGAAGTGGGTTGTGCCCACGAAAGCTCATGATGCTATTTATATTTTTGTTAGTCTTTAAGGTGCTGCAGGACTATTTACTGTTTTTTAATGTTTTACAATTACAGACTAACATGGCTAACCCTCTGAAACTATTTTATTTGTTTTGAGCAGAGAAGGCCTTGTACTGGGGGGCATGGGAAACGGGAATCAAAAACCAATTAGATTGTTTACAGATCCAATTTCCCTGCAGATGCTCTGCTGGCCTCTACTTTTGTATATTTACAAAATAAAACAAACATGGTGGCAAAGCAAGGACTGCTCCAGTTCAGTGGCTTAAGTAGTTCACATACAGCAACAGCATCTCCACATGCACTGCAGTAGATCCTCTGACCACACTCCTACCCCATGCTCTCTCCTGCTCCCTGCCCCTCACTCCACACTGTACAGACTGCACATGCCCCGTGAGTATCTTTTCCACATCCAGCCCTTCTTTCACATCCAAAATGGAACGGCAGTTCTGCTGCACTGGACCTTCTGTGGCTGCAGCATAGGCATGAAGAAAAGCATTAGTGAAAACACCTTAAGGCCATGGTTCAAGTTCATAGCAAGTTGAATCAGAGAAAAAGTCAAATTCATATAAAAGTTTGTATTTTTATGTTATCAGCTCCCAGTCACAGGACACAGCTGTTGAATACATTTTATAGAGCCACTTAAATGCTCTGTATGAAATCTAAATAATTTATCAGATTTTCTAATGATGCTGGTGTTACTCTCAGTTATATACATTGTCTTCACACAATGTAGCATAACTGGTAACCAGTAGGCCAGCCAGCACTTCTGATTGTGTAAATTGCTGCAGCTCCATTGAGTCCACATGGAGCAGTGCCAATTTGTAGCATCAGGCACTGCAGCCTGCTGCATAAGTGTGATTCATCTACTCACCGAGGGCCAAACCCCAACCTAGATGTATCCATGGCCTGGAGCCTAACTGGAGCTGCATGGTGTAGACAAGTTCTAGAGCATTGGAGTCTTATATGTAGCCTAAGAGGGAAAAAATTCTCCTTCACTGAAAGTCATCGCTGCTCTGCAAGGTGTAGTCATGATTGAGGAACAAAGTCAGACAGGTTATGAGCATTGCATATGTCTCTCTGGGTATGTCTTTGCTACAGCGTTATTTCGAAATAATTATTTCAAAATATCTTATATAATGTGTCTACACACAAAATGTATTTCAAAATAGCTTTTTGCTATTTTGAAATAGCATGTCCACACTAATTGGACACTGAATCGCATTTAAGGCCAGCCAGAACTGGTTCCAGCAGGCATCAGGTCAGAAGTTACCTTGTGGCCAGCAGGGCACCCTGGGAAGGGCTGGAGGCCCCTATTTCAAAATAAGCATCTACATAGCGCTTATTTCAAAATAGCAATTTCGAACTTGGCGCTATTCCTCATGGAATGATGTTTACCAATTTCAAAATAAGCCCTCCGCTATTTCAAATTAATTTTGAAATAGCAGTTGGCTTGTGCAGATGCTAGGAAAGTTATTTCGAAATAACTTTGCTGTGTAGACATACACTCTGAAACCCACAGTGGGAGTTCAGATTCCCTCTGACAGTCAACAGTGAGGACTCTTAACTGGTCACATAGCTCAGGGTCTGGCTGACAAGTCATTGGACAGATAATTGTCATGAAGAGAAGGGGGACATGTTTACAACCTTTCCCCAACACAAAAATACCACCAATATTCATATGCTGTGTATTTAATAACAAAAGTGGTATCAAAACAGTAATTAAAAATGTCACTGGAATGTGCTAACTTGATTGACAAACAACATTTTGAAATAATTTTTTTTATCAGAAATCAAATTTGATGAGAAATTTCCTTGACAGTGTGAAATTCAGAAAATTTCAACCACCTCTAATAAATGCACTGGCCACATACTTGATACAGCTTTGTAATTTTGTTTGGATATAGCTCACACATTGCATAGAGTTGCACTCATACACAAATATACAGCAGTAACTAAAAGCTGCATGGTTTTACTTCTTTCCTATGAAGTTTTTATTTCTTATTATGTATGATTCCAGACATATTTGTAATTAGATGATCACAGCTAGGCTGTGATGAACTAAATAATTTATGTAGCAAGTTCCCTACCCAGGTGCATTCAGCTGCTCTGTTTCATACTCATTTGAAATTACTGTACTGTAAATAGAAAACTTTATTTTTACACCAGAGAATAAATAGAATTAAACAAACAAGAAGAAAAGAGCTGCCAGGATTCTGGGAAAGGCAATATTGTATTACTTTCTGCAGAACTGATTTAAGAGCTCTGAGTATCTTTCAACTAACAATAACTATAACTCAACACACAGTAGTGTAATGAGTAGTGTAATGTAACCATATATATACCAGGCTTGTGCAAGAGACTGATAAAAGGCCTACTGAACACCATCTGCTGTTCTGCTTGGGAACTGCAGAAATGCTGTCTGGTGTGTGTTCATAGAAGGATAGGAAATTTCACCAACATGATGGAGAGATACAGTATCATGCAATACTTAAGGGCTGGACCCAGCTTCCTATGTAAAATCTGATTTTGCCCCCACATACCTAATGATCATAAAATCTTTAAAAGTGGATTTTAAAAAATTGTGGCAAAGTAGGCAAGTCACTTTATTGATAAGTGGTGTTCTATAAAAGAAATGGATTTAGGTATTGCAAGTTGTATGAATACTTAAATTGGCTCCCAAACATCTTGGCCTGGACACTGCAGACCTGTTTTATTCTATCAGTGCTAGAGAGGATTGGGGGTTTGATTTAGTTTTGCATATGTGTGCTATAGGGGAGTTTGAGGAATTATACAGATACTATGAACACATCTTTCAGACAAAAGTCTGAAAAACCAGCATATGTGTTCTATACATGCACTATGTGGAGCCATGTATTAATGTATGAAAGCACACAATCCTAATCCATGCATTGAATCAAGATTTGAAAACATTTTGTATTGGTGGAAGCCAGAATGGAAAGGTGAGGGGAAAGAGAGAGAAGGAGGAAGAGTAGAAAGGAGATGGAAGATGAGAGAAAGTGATGGCATAGGAAATGACTGAGGAGGGAGAATGAATTGATGTAGGAAGAAGGAAAAATGAGTGAAAAGCAGAGAAATGAAGAAAATGGGATTGGGAGAGGCTGTGCACTTAAATTTTAAACTTCAACACAGGCGTTATTTCTCCTTCACATAAAGAAAACTTACAGGGAAAATGGGTCTCAATACATGGATCCTGTGACTGGAGCAAAGCAATAACTTTACAGTGTTAGAATTTAAAATATACCATGTGGCCACTGTAAAGTAGAATGGTATGATGAAATGTGCTGTTCCCTATATACATATAGCAATACAGTATTAGTTACATAGTTAACTATGGAGGGAGTTGGTGGGCATATGTTACAATTTGTGTTTGTTGTTACATTACATATATGCTCGAGATGTATAAGGTTAGCTTCTGGTTTATATTCTGACTCCTTTGTGCTGCTCAGACAGTATGTGTGGCTGAAATTTGGCTACAGTTGGCCAGTAAAGAATTCTTCTAGTGAAGATGAACTCTGCTGGTGTGAGGGATCGGGAGAGGAGTATCCTTAAGGGCTGTACTCCAGGAGCATAAGTTAACTCCTATAGTGCTTTAGATCATGCCGGGCCATGGCTGGTGTGTAGTTCACTGACCTATAGGTATTTCCTTATTGGCCCCCACAGGCTTCCCTCCACCAACCAGAACTCTAGGCTCAGGAGCCTTTTTAGCCCTTAATCTCAAACCTCTTACCTGAACCATCTGATTGCTTCCAAATCTAATTAGCACTTTCAGTTGTACATGCATTATTACAGTTTGTATGTTCAGGGTTAACAGGTGGTTCCAAACTGAGATTGCCCATGCCCATAAAAAAAAACACTAGAGGAAATCTTGATTAAAATCCCATCTTGAAGACCTCACATTGTTGCCTCACATATTAGAGGATGAAGGACCTACCTCCCAACACTGGCAGATCCTCTGGGATCTCTTCAGTCCACTCTGGTTATTGGTGTCCTTCCCTTCTATCTCCTTGGCAATGCTGCTTCATCAGAGCTGTGCTTCTGACTCAGACCCTAATGCCCCAAGGACTCACTCTGAAGGGTAACTTTCTACATAATATAATACAACCTGGGCTTGTAATAGCCTTTTAAACTTATTGTCAGGGCACTGGATTATATGAGCTGATCTACAGGGCATGATGTAGACCTCAGTTATATAACAAATATTTCACATACAGGCCACATATGTACCATATAGCCTGATATGTAGGAATTTGCAAAATTGATACATTGCACCTGGAGATAATTTGAATTGAAACCAAATGTTTCTGTTATGTTCAATTGTCTGATTTAGAGTTTTGTACTGTACCCATCACAGTTGTATCTCTGCTTCTCTTGGCTTTATTGTATTGGCACAGCAAAGTCCGTAGCGGACATTATGGAGTCTTCCACTTCTCTGGTTGTGGGAGACTTTCTGGGAGGAAGTTCCATCAATTTGAAATTAAATGCAAACATGAATTTGAATGAAATGTTGCATTGATTCGTAATACCTTTATTTAATTCTTTATAACCCTAATGTCCTCCTGATTGATATTTACTTCTTGTGACATTGACACCTCATTCCTTTTGCGTCTCCATTAAGGACCCATCTCAGCAGTGATGTCATACAGTAAACAGAATCAATATGTGCAATTGCTTGTAAAAATTGTCAAATGTAAAGTGAAGAATGGCAAATATGATTTTTTTAAGTTGAATAAAGAAACAGTCAGCAATGATGCACGCTCATAATGCTTACTAGAGCTGAACAGTACATATATAAGGCTGAACTACAGAGGCAGATAGGCAGATCTCAGGATCCTGAAGGCTTCCCAAAGTTCCAGTTGCTGAACATTATTTCAAAGTATCAGAAGGTAAGTTTCTTACTAACTACCTGTAAGATTTGTTCAATGGTTTGAGTGCAATTCTTCTGACCAAGGTTTGTAAAGCAAATACAAATCTATTTAACCTTTTCTTTTAATATTATTAGTTTATTATTATTATTTTATTTATTATCTTTTTATATTTGGAAGAATACATAGTCTATATTGCTAAATTTTAAATCAGATTTAGGTAATGCAATAGAAGGCAACTTATTTAAGATAGAATGATCCAACGATGCAAAATCAGCTTCTAAGACTGACAGAAATGATAGAAAGAAGGACGGTTAAACAAAAATCATAGAACTGCATTACAGTGAGAATTTAAATTTTATACACATGCACATAAATATTGACTTCTTGTTTGTCTTACATTCCCATTTTCAAATACCATTTATTGGACATGACTCCTTCACAGATACTGAGCCATTTTGACTTTAAACATCATCAGCCTTTGTAGAAACATCCTAAAAGCCCTACAGAAAATAATTTATCTTTGTCTATATGGTACACCTGTGTTTTCTGGAATGAAGCAGTAACAAGATTAAGAACACATTTCTAGGTACTATTTTTGTTTCTTTGACTTACTGAAAATAAATATTACTGACAGTGATTACCAATGCTAAATATTGAAGAATAAATGTACAAAATGCAGCTTAAATTTAAAAATAAAATGTTTGAAAAATATTTAATAAAAGCGCAGCTGTCTTCAAAATATCTTTCTGGTTAAAAGGCAGGTTCCAGTAACTTAAATATTCTCAAATCTGCCAACTAGTTTGTAGACGTAATCATTTTTTTTCTGATCTCATCAAATGCTACCCGCTGATACAATCTAAGGTCTTGATTCTGAAAAAACATGCCTATTGAGAAGAACTCAAGCACTTACTTAAATTGAAATTATATCAAAGTAAGTAAGAGTGTTTTCATATATCACAAAAGGAAAAATATGTAGCACTTTAAAGACTAACAAGATAGTTTATTAGGCGATGAACTTTTGTGGACCAGAAGAAAGTGAACACATTATAATGTGTTCACTTTCTTCATTGTATTCCTTTGTTATATATGGTCATGCCAATTCTTCTTCAGAATGTGATCTGAAAAAGTGGGTCTGGCCCACTAAAGCTCATCACCTAATAAACTATCTCGTTAGTCTATCAAGTGCTACATATTTTTTCCTTTTGTTTTACCAAGATCAGACTAACATGGCTAGTTCTCTATTACTAATCATATATCACATTAAGCAATTTGTTTAGGTTTTGCAGGTTTGGGGCTTAAGGATCTATCCCACAAACCCCTGGAAATAAATGAGAGTCTTTCCACTGATTTCCATAGACTTTGAATCACATGCTTTATGTTTTTAAATTATTTGCTGAATAACATTATATACAACATAAACAGTATTTAATGACCAAAATACTTCATGCCTTATCCTGCCAGTACTAGAAACTTTTGATGGAGAAATAAGTGTTTATAGCATTCAGGATTTCTTCTCTAGTCTTTCAACACATGAAATGTAAAACTGATGTATTCTTTAGGCTCAACATTGGATGTCAGTGTTGTATCACTGAAGTACAGCTCCAAGTGGACAGTTAAATAGTGAAACTGGTTTTTAATAGTTTTAAGACCAATATGGAACTTCTAGGTACAATATGAATGATATGTTGAAATGGAGAGATTAAACCTTACGCTTCAGGGTATAATCACTACAGAGGTGAGAATGGAATTCCTTTCCATGTATACCTTTGCATGATTGGCCAGCTGCAATTATGAAGGCAATTACCTGACTTTAGTATATTTGGTATTGGCCACTGCTAAAGAGAGGATAATGGATTTCATGGCTCAAAGGTCTAAGCCAGTATGGCAAATCTCATAGTCTTCAAATCATTTTTCTAGCTGTGACTAAGATGCCACTTAACTGTATTGCCTTATGTTGCAACACAGAATTATTGTTTTGATATTGGCTATTAACAATCCACTGAAACTAGGGACTTACCTAGTAACAGCAGGCGTGTTCTCCTTGAGCAGAACTGAAATGTCTGGCAGCAGTAAAGTAGTTAATACTGGGGGCAGATCGTCAGATAGTATAGATTGTCATAGCTCCCTGAAAGTCAATTGAGTTATGACAATTTGCAGTTCTGCTCCTAGAAACTTAGAAATCCAGTTTCTTGAATGTTTGGCTTCTTATATTCCAATTTGACTGTTCAGTACATGCAGATCTTGTATAGTACTTCCTATCTGGCATCATTGCTCTACATATAAGTTATATGTATTTAGCTCTGAGGAAGAAAACCTCAATATGATGTTCTGAACTTAAGGACAATAACCAATGAACTTTAGTCACAGCTTACTGGTAAGCACTTGCTATCCATCAGTTGCTATCCACCAATACTTGTCTTCTTATATTTTCTGCTCATAGGTTTCAGCCAAATTATTGGCCATTAGGAATCCATTGAGTCCTCTTCTCTGTTATGTTTCATGTCCAGTTGTGCATCATTTCATAGTTCATGGAAGATACAAGTTGTCATGTTCAATTATGTATGGAAACCTACTCTGAAATATGTCACAGCATAAGCCTGCAAAAGCAAGGTTCCTGATCTATTGATATCTTAGCCCATGATGCCAAAGTGTTGCAGTATAGAATGGATTCATTTCTTCTATGACTGACACTCTGTGAGACTCACTGAATTCAAATAAATAATATCACTGGGATTTTATGGGTATAAATCAGTGCACAATTTAGCTTTAGTTGTGCACAAGGGTCCTTTATTCTGAAACTTGGAGCAATGGGAAGGATTACAAATTATGTAGAAGATTAAGTTTAGGTTTTTATTGGCTTCAGGAATTTAGTTAGCCACTTAGCATTTTATTTCAACTGGCTTATTTTTCTTATCTCCCTTTGTTTTTCAGACTGTAGTATAAGCTTCTCTGAAACATTTTCATGGATGGGAAAGTGACTCTTTCAAGCAGACAACTGATTATTAGTTCAGATGCACGATGAAACACTTCTGATGTCATTCAATTTCCATGAACTTATTACAATTTCAGTTGCTTTATAGTGAATTAACTTAGTTATCCATGCAGATTTCAAAGCACGGATTGATGAAGATAAGCAACTTTTTGAAATAAATATCTTGGGTTTTGTAATTTATTTTAATAGCCAAATGCATGAGCCCAAATGAATATTAATTTATTTTACTAACTAATCATTTCATAAAATTAAGGACTGACTCAGAGCTAGTACTTTAAAGTCTACTAGCTATTTTATAATAGTTTGCTTCAATTTGCATATATGCTTTTGTTACAAAATGCTTTAGTCTATGAGCCAGACCCAGCAAATACGTACTGCTGCTCATTGATGTGCTAACTTGTATGACTGACTGAAATCAATAGGGCTACTTGCAGTAATATGAGCTATGATCAGCAGTCAGCATCTTCAGTACTGGGTAGAGCTTGTCAAAATTATTATGCTCAAAAAATTTTATTCAATTAAAAATACAGTTTCAAGGCAGCCAAAACTAAATTCACATTGGTTTTGGAGAACAGTTTCATAAAAAAATAAAAAAATGAAAAATAAAATAGGAAATAATCAAAGTGTTTGACATCTTCAAAATGAACTATTTTGACTTTTCATTCCAAAATGACATTTTGTGCTAAATTTAGCTAGTTTTTTAAGTTAAGATATAAAACACCCCAAAATATAACAAATGAAATGAAAAATGGATCATTCAAATTTAAAACCATTTTTTAGTTCTGCCAACAAACAAAAAAAATCCATTATTTGTTCATCATCAGCACTGAGTCCTTAAGCTAAAAATCAAACTAATAATAGTGCATTGAATAATGATAATGTTTACATACTCAGGAACAGATGGCAAACACCTTACCCACATGGTTATTGCTCACTGAAATATATAATTGAAGATAATGAGTCTACTTGTGTGAGAAAGTGTTCATCAGTCTGAATAAGGGATTCGCAATATAGCTCTGAAACAGCAGAATACATATACTGTGGGCCACACTGTGCTTCTCTTACTCGCAATGAATAATTTTACTCATGAGACTACACATGGAGTAGGATAGCAACCACAATCTAGGCCATTATTATTAATTTTATATAATGAATGGAACTACCCACAGCAATATATATTACACTTTACAGGATTAGACTCTTAATGATTGAAGCAAGGTATAAACCTCATAATGAACTAAAATGGAAAATCTAACACTGTACTAGAAATAGCAAGGGTATTATAAATGCAACAGATGTTGAGTTGCCTTCTGTATCACAAAGTTCTAAATGTTATTGTATTTATTTATCTTAAAAGTCATACTCTAAATTGAAACTTGAGTATTTTACCCAAGGAGCCCAATTCTATCAGTATTCATTGCTATAAAGGATAAACACAAAAACATACAAAATGAAAGAATTTAGGAGTGAGAGGATGAAAAAAAAATGCTCAGAACAAGAAAAGTGGCTGGATAGGACACTGCACTCAGACTCTGCTTTTATTCTTTTCATCAATAAATTCAGAAAATTAAAACTTTAATGGTGATATAGTATGAAAATTGCAATACATTGAAACAATATAGGATTTTCAATCTTATATATATAGTTTCATTCCATTCTAGAGCAATGGGTTTCCCTCACTGTATATTGACTCTGAAGTATGTAAAGAGGACTATATTTATTCCTGTCCTCCTCTGTGTTCTGACAGGCAATGAAAATGAAAAGCATTTATTTTGTGGCTGGATTGCTTTTAATGATCATTCAAGGCAGCTGGCAAAATCCTCTTCAAGACACAGAAGAAAAATCCAGGTAAACACTACAAATCAAGCATCTCAGAATAATCCAAACAAACTCCACTATTCTTTCCCCACAACTTAAAGCAAAATATTTGACTTGAGGAAAAGTTTCTTAAAATATGGCCATGTTTTTAATTCACCTCAGATGAGAGAAGGAGATCTACATTGCAAAGTTCAGCATGCCATTTCATTGGTGTTTCACACAGTGCCTTTTTATTGTTATCCTAATAGACTTAGTTATGCAGTTATCAGGCTGCTACAGTCATTGGCTCTGTTAGCCAGCTAACAATCATATCAGCAGCAAGTAATTTTTGTTTCCACTTTTTTGTTCTTATTCTGTTGAAATATAGATTTTTTAAAGATGTCAATGTAGGTATGGCACCTGTGGAAAGTGCTATCATCAATGCTGATTAATGTATTACAAACTATTCATAGATCATTCAAAGCTTCCCAGACTGAACCATTAGATGAATCTAGACAGATGAATGAAGTAAAACGTCATTCACAAGGCACATTCACCAGTGATTACAGCAAGTACTTGGACACTAGACGAGCTCAGGATTTTGTGCAATGGTTAATGAGCACTAAAAGAAGCGGGTAAGCATACTGGGAAAACCACTATAAATCTCCAGGCACAGATATATCCATAATCTAGTGCATGCCAGGAATCAGTTCACTTTTCAGTGTTCCCTCCCAGAATATGCTCTATTTTCCTTTTTAAATGCATAGCATATGAACCAAAGAAGACCTTAAGGATCATTGAAACATACCATTGATATGTTGTTAGCAAGAATGAGTCAACTATGGATGATCATTTTTATATATTAGTTCAATCATTTTTTGAAATAGTAGAAATGTTTAGTTGAAAATAATCATCAGTCTTTTGCCTAAGTTCTAGCATGGTATCAGTATGTTATCTGATATGTTATTTTTAAGGAAACTGTTGTAAGAAGCCCTTACAGGAAGATGGACTCAGTGACCTAATAGGTCTTTTCCAGCTGCAGCTATTGGATCCTGTGGTTTCCTTATAGAACACTTATCAAGGATTAAGCGTTGCCTGGTACTGGATACCTCGATTGTGCCATAGAAATTCAGGCACTGCTAGTGCTGGTACTGCATGCTTTTATGGAAGATATGTTTTTGGTCTAATATGCGTTTCTGGACTCAGCATATAAACAGCTAGCTGTTATAAACAAGGGGAATTGAACGATCCCTTCTGGCCTTAATGCAGCTAACTTCCTGCACAAAGGTGGTCCTTAAAGACAGAAATATGGAATTAATAGTTTCAAGAGCTGATATTTAATTACATTGACATCCCCTGAAAATATCAGAGCACTCAAATAGGTAGTTTAACATTAATAGATTTTTAGTGATATTTAAATAATGTTCAATAGCATATTATGCATTAATGCATATTATCTGCTCTACAATGAACTAATATAATATCAGTGAACTAATGACTCTGGGCTTTTGCTACAGACAACCAGCACTGAAGGAGAGAGAGAATGAAAAATTCCTGGATGAACTTGCAAGGTACTTTAAAATGCTGAATATGTTACTCAGAAGGAATTGAAACAATTGACATTTCTGTTGGGTCAGAAACACAGCCAATGATACAGAGACTTACTTCCAGCTTCATATTTATAATCCAAATTAGACACTCCAGGCATAGAACAAGGCATTCCGGGCTTAAGGTTTACAGTCAGAGGGTATGTCTACACTACAGAAAAGATTGAAGCTGCTGTTGTCAATCTTTCAGGGTTCAAATTAGCGAGTCTAGTTAACACAGCTACCGGTAATTTGAACTGAGAGGGGGCACTCTGGTTGATGCTGGTAAAAGTGCTTCCACAAGGTGTAAGGGAAGTCAAAGGAAGGGTGTCCTCCCTTCGACTTCCTAAGGTGTGGACAGCACCAAAAGTTGAATTAAGTTAATTAACTTCAGCTACACAAGTGACATCGCTGAAGTTGAGTATCTTAATTTGTAGTATAGACATACTCTTAGGGAAGAAATGATTGAGACTTTCATTATGATAGGGAAACTTGGAACCAGTATCTGATCTAACTGAATTTAAGAATGGCTTCAAGAATGTAACAATATAAGAGTATTAGCCTGAAGGAAAGAAAATTTTAGGGAATAAAAAAAATGAATGAGTAAGGTACAAAGGAAGAAGTAATAAATTCCCACAGGTGTGAGAGAAGGTAAAGGAATCCTAATAAATACGGAGTTGGGGGATCAATACTGGACACAAGACTAATGAAAGGGAAATGATACATGAGGAGGAAACAAGAGATTTTAACTGAGTAGCACAGAGATCAGTGTTAGGTTCATTTTTATGTATCTTATTCATTCTAGAAGGGGGAATAGATGGCATGTAAATGAAAAGTGCAGATGGTACTAATTGGGAGGAATGTCAAAATCCCAAGCAGACCGAAAAATAAAGCAAAAGGGCCCTAGAAAAATGTGAAACTTGGACAGAAAATAACAAATGCTAGAAATAAATGCAAACTAATACATCTGGACCAAAATGCTCCAAAATATGTCTACTTTCTTGGGCAGCAGGGAATGGATGATCCAAGCACTTATAGTGAGCAGCAAATTAGACATAATTTTGCTATGCAATTTGGCTTCAGAAAAGACCCGTATGATCAATTTTGGTCTGAATGCACAAAGGCAGTATGTCAAGGGAGAAGATGGAAACAGTTAATTTCTATGCGCTCTTGATGTGACCACACCTAAAATAGCTCTGGAAAACATGTAATAAAATGGAGAGTGAAATACTGGAGGCTGTTCAGAGAAGAGTAACCAAAAATGATCAATAAAGAAAATAAAGGCACAAAGGAGGTAAATCTGTACAGTTTGACTAAGAGAGAAAGGAGAGGTGTGATAACTTATTTAGAGCTGAGCAAAGGCACATAACTAAGTTGTAGGGTGAAAATATGAAGGTTAGTCTGGGGGGAAATTTCCTACTGATGAGAAATGCTGGGCTTGCAGGAAAAGAAGCCAATAGATGCAAGGAAGGGACACAAATAGATAAAGTGATAACATGTTCCTGGTTCTAAGAGAACTGCTTTTCTTGCAGCAATGGACTCTCAAAGCGTCATGCTGAATTTGAGAGGCATGCGGAGGGCACCTACACTAGTGACATCACCTCTTATTTGGAAGGTCAAGCTGCCAAAGAGTTCATTGCTTGGTTAGTGAATGGACGAGGAAGAAGAGAGTAAGAATCCCTCCGTTCCTATCATTAAATGTTTGGCTTTTCTGGTTAAAAATCATGCCTAATGGAACTATAATGTATTTTTGTTTTATTCTTGCTGTATTTCATATTTTCCTCTGTATCTCAAGATACATTGTGGGTGTAAGATAATCATTTTGAATGATTCAGTCCTACTTCAGATTAAGATGAAGATGTTGACAAGTTTCAAGTATTGTTACTCTGTAAAAGGTCAAGTTAGATTCAAGGTCAACATGTCTAAAAGTGAACCAGTCTTTCCTCTAAAATTCCCTTTTCCCCTTTCTGTGATTTGTTTACTGGCTTCTCCTCTTCTTCTGCAGTAAATTCAAGATTCAGCTTCCCATCCTCTCATAGCTCTGCCCTCACTTACATTTCTGATCTCTTTGCTTCTCCATCCTCTCATATCCATACCATCATCCCAGCTTCAGTCCTTCCTGCTTCCCTACTTCTATCATTCCTGACTGTAAATCTTTCTTTCATTACAACCTTATACTTAGAACAGCCTGCCATGTAATTGTTTCCAAGCACCCTCTATCTCTTCCTATTTCAGATTTCCACCTGCTCTTCATGGCTTAGTAGCTACACTGTTCTCATGACACTTCCATCTGTTAATAGTTCTGTACTTATATGAGCCTTTAGACTGTAAGCTCTTAAGGGCAGGGACTTCATTTCACCTGCTATTCTTTGAAAAAATAAATTTAACCAGCCGTAAAGCACCATGTATATCTCTGGTGCTATATACTAAGTAATAATAATAAAATCTAATCTATATGACAAGATTATGTGTTGGCTACTCCTAGACTCCAACACACAAAGTAATTCTGAAATGACTAACTATCCCTTGAAAGGGTAGAATTAAATGAGTTAGATCAGCTGTTGAAAAAAGAATGGTGGCAAGTAATGATACTGACATTCTGATTTCCAGTAGTCTTGTTGTCATGGATAATGAATAGCATTCAGGAGCAGCAGAATGGTATCCATGTGTCTGTAGATAATGAAGTTAAAAATTAGGAACCCTGCTCCGAGGTCTGGTTGAGCTGTCTTCAGCCCAGAATTCTGGATGGGAAAGGGACAAGTGCAAGCCATCATTCTGCAAACTTGATCCTTGACCTTAGTCTTAGTCAAACTAGCCTCTAGAGTATCAGGGAACAACCTAAAGACCATTCTAAATTATGCCAGTAAAGGTACATCTACACAGCCCAGCTATTTCCGGATACCAGAGGTATCCCAAAATAGCTACTCCACATCTTAACAAGCCGCCGGTTATTTCAAAATATTTTTCAAAATAATGGGCATGCTATTGTGGTGCCCCTGTAACTCTTGTTCCATGAGGGTTAAGGGATGTCTTGAAATAGTGCGTTATTTAGCATTTGGCTTTGTGTAGACGTGCCAAATGTCAAAATAAGCTATTTTGAAATAGACTCAAAATAAGATACACAATCTGCATAATGCAAATTGTGTATCTTATTTTGAATTTCGGGTGCTGTGTAGACAAACCCTTAGAGGGACCTTTCTGCTTTCCAGTAATCACCAGAGCATGATGTGCTCCAGCTCCAATCAACTTGGCCTCTGTCCTTTAAAAATATCCTTTGCCTGGTGGGAGGGAGCAAAAGGGTGCAAAGGTGTTTGTCAGGGTAATCTCTGACCACTCTTGTAGAATAGATCTCTAGAGGGCACAAGGAGGAGCCAGGATCTAGCCCCATATATAGGTGCTGGAATTCAAGGTACTGGGGTTTCTATTATATAAAGGGTTTATAGTGCGATTAAATGGCTCTCAGCACCCCATTATAAACATTGTGCCAGCACCCCTAGTACCATATGTTTGTGTACAACACACATACACGCAGAATTTAGGAAAATACATAATTGGCATTTGCTAATTCACAAAGCTATCACTTCCAATTGATTTTGCTAAAAGGGGAAATAGTCATGCACTAAACATTTTAGGAATTATAAATCTAGGATTTCATAAATCCAATAAAAGTATTAATCAGCTGAATGGAACAGTTGGCTACAATATAAAAGTACTTCATTCTTAAGCAGTGAAGCTTATTATGTTTACAGTGGGTTTTATTGTGTTTTAGTCTCAGCTGTGAGTAACATTGGCTTAGCAAACTGCAGTTTGATGTACTATGTCTGGTGTTTCTGGCTTTTATTTTTTTAATTCTAATTGAGGAATTAAGGCTCACTTACAAAGTCTTCGAGAAACAGTGCCCTAACTGAGAAAGGAAGACATCCAAATTGTCTTCTATCACAGTAAAAGTGCTCCAAATGTTGTTTTAACACGGAACATTCAAATACTGGGCTAGTCTTGCATTCCTTGAAATCACTGGGAGCTCAGAGTGTGTAGAGACTTCAGGATGAGGCCCTCGAAGAAGTTTGTTTATTTTGGTCTGTACAGCTATTATTTGACAATTTCTCCCTTTTAAAGTTTCTCAGAAGAAGCTAATGCAGTTGAAGAAGTGGACAGAAGACATGCTGATGGCACTTTCACCAGTGATTTCAACAAAATTCTTGATGACATGGCTGCCAAAGAGTTCTTAAAATGGCTGATTAACACAAAAGTTACTCAGAGGTGATTGAATTTTGATGATCTTAAACCTTAGTATATTTAGATTTTTAGTATACTTCCAGCACACTGAGGAAAGACAGCTCATTGTACTTAGCTGTCACTATTTATTCATATCCATTCATGTATTGAAAATGTTGTACTATAGACCATGCCATTTACTGCAAACAGAACCATTCCAAACATAGTCCATGTTTTGTATCAAGAGCCAAATTATGTCCTTGTTTAAGTTAATGGGCGTTTTGACATTGATTTGACTTCAACAAGTATTTGGCCCAAAATAAGTTGTTGATAAAAGAAACTGCCATGTATATAGCAATCATAACCTCCAAAATATTATTAAAATGTATCAAATAGATTTTTTTTTTAAAATAATATAATCTAGAATAGTGGTCTGAGCACAGGTGTGGGAGCCAGGACCTCCTGAGCTCTAATATCCCTTCCCTGATACAACCACTGTGGGTAAGGCATGTAATTTAAGCTGAGTGCCTAAATTTTCTGGTTTGTAAAATGTGAACATACAATTTTCTAAGACAGCTTTTGGGGCATTTTAGGAATTATGGGGTGAAGTTTGTAAACAATTTTGAAGACAGCGCTGCTCAAATTCAGACTTATGTGAGGTGTTTGATTTCCAAAGATGCTAAGTGCCTTCCCTGTGAAAATTGGGCTTCTCCCATGCATACGAAACAAAAATGGAAATATCCAAAATCATTAGTCGCTTTTGAACATGTAGGCTAACAAATACTAATTCTTATTTTTAAAGTTTGAAAATAATTGTTAAAATATACATTTCATTGGCATTTGTTTGCATTTCGCAAATGCATACGTCTAATACAACATGAAAAATGTCATGAAAAGAACATAAAGAACATCCACTAAAAATATTTGTACGCGCTTTACCTTAGAAATTATTGTGATTTTAACCTCAAGTTAGAGGGAGTCATTAAAGGATATGTGGAACTAATATTTGTTAAATCTTAACCAGGAAAAAATGTCTTCCCCATAAGTTTAATCTTCTAAATACTGTAACTGTTCCTAATTATGCCCTTTTGTTTTTCCAGGGACCTTTTGGGGGAATACCAGTGAAAATATAAAACAATTATGGGACAAGTCAAGATCTTCACTGCATCAGCTGCTGGTCACCAGGGAATTCTGAAATTTGTGTTCTATAAACTATATGGAGTGTAACCTAAAGCCATATCGCTTTGCATGCTAAGAAATGAATTTTACTATAGTGTAGTATTGCCAAAGGATTATATATGAACAAGATGTTTTCAAAAAGACACACAAAATAACAGCTTTAAGAATACAAAAATGCCTCATCTTCATATTTTCCATTTATTTTAGGGCCAAAATATCTCTATTTACATTTAGCAATTAAATTATTTTTCTATGAAGTCAACTTGTACATAGGATTGATTTGAAACACCAAATATCTGCATTATAAGAAAGAGGCTGGCAGTCACAAATGTCTGAGAAGTGAACTTCCCTCTTGAAACCTTTGTTATAAAAAGGCTAAGCTTTCAGGATATTAAATGATAGCCTTAAATAAATTTTTTCAAGCTTCTTTTTTTGTTGTCTTTGTGCATGTGTGTGTCCTTTTTGTGACTTTGAAGAAAACAAGATTGTTTAAATCTAAGGAATTCAAGTGTCACAGAGCTTCAAAGTGATTCATTTGTAATGCTGTGCATAAATTTAGCCCTTGTTTCCTGACATTTTCATGATAAATTATTTCCTCTTGTGAATGGCTTTCATTAAATGGTTCTGATGATTTCCAAAATTGGGACTATGTGAATTTTGGTGTCTAGCAGTTCTATGGGTATTTTTTGCCCAACGTTATTAGGAATAATATACATTTTATAACTGTGACTCTTCCCAATAGTAGGCCAAGAAGATATAACTTGGAGATAAGCTAGAGCAAGGAGGGTTGGGGAAAATGAATAGTTCTCCTATTTCACATGCTTCTTGCCAAATTTTTGAAATCACAGGAGTAGTCATCTGGGGTGAAAGATGCTGATGAATGTTTCTTATACATGTCAAATGTAATTTCATGAATGATAGATATCCTATGTCTGAGGAAAAATAATGCTTCACTGCGTGTATCTTTAGGCACCTTGATATTCAGACCTTATGCTCTACTGCAATAATTTTTATACAAAATATGCCTTGTTCGGAATCATATGAAAGTAACATTCTGGTTATTATGATCATTCTCAAAGGCATGTGTTAACATCATATGTGAAGTTATGAATTCCTCTGTATGACATTACTAGAACATGCTTAAGACCAGAAGGACTAACCTAGGTAAGGGCAATAGGCAGGAATATTGGGTTACCTCAATTTATATATTAACAGTAAGTAAACTGTCAGTTTTGAAGGGAAGGGTTATTCACTCTATTCAAACTCTATAACAGAGCAGCAAACTTATCTTCTGCGACTGCACAGGGTAATGATTGTGCATTGCAGAGAAAATTCTGAGTATCCTCAGTGCTATGTTACACTGGTTTATAAAGAATACCAGGTTATGGCTAACTGCATGTGTGGGCTGAGTAGCTCTAAGGGAGGCATCATAACAGTTTGGGGATCTCTATGTTCTGTATAGTTTGTTTGTTAAAAAAGTTTGGTCTTTACCTGCTACGAGGGCTGTATTTGCAGAGGTGGTTGGAAGCTAAGCCTGCTCTCATGCCCCTTTTAAATAATAGGTTTTCTGCCAAACATATGGGAGGGGGGACTGTCAGCAGCTGTCATTTATTACTTTGAGGAGGGCTCTTTGCAGTTCAGGTGCTTATTTGGGGATGAAGTGAACAGGGGTTCTGCTTGAGCTCTAAGAACACAAACAAGAGGGAAGGGTTAGTGCCTAAAGAGAACAAAAGTTTAGAACAGAGCCTGGTCCTGCAACTCTCAATACGCTGGTAGATGAGGTAGTGCTGGGCAGGCCCAACCCTACGGCAAGGTGAGCAAGGCAAATGCCTTGATCCCCGTGCTTTCAGGGTCCTGTGCTGCTGAATATTCACCATCCAACCTCCCCTTTGACCTCCCTCCTCACCCTGTGCCTCTCACTTGCTGGTGGCCCCACTCACCAATTTCTGCCCTGCCCTCGCAGAACTTCCAGAGAGTGGCAAATCAGCTGATTCATGGTGTTCAGGATGCGCCCCCTTGGCTAGAGGAGAAGTTGGTACCTATTCCCTGGTACTCTCAGAGACATTCTTCATGCCTCTGTGCTCTGAATACAAAATGCCTATAGGAACTCTCACTGGCTACGTCTAGACTGTCATGATTTTCCGCAAATGCTTTTAACAGAAAAGTTTTTCCGTTAAAAGCATTTGTGGAAAAGAGCGTCTAGATTGGCATGGACACTTTTCCGCAAATCGACTTTTTGCGGAAAAGCGTCCATGCCAATTTAGACGCGGTTTTGCGCAAGAAAGCCCCAATCACCATTTTCGCCATCGGGGCTTTTTTGCGCAAAACAATTTTCAGCTGTCTACACTGGCCCTTTTGCACAAAAGCATTTCTGGAAAAGGGCTTTTGCCCGAATGGGAACGTCAAAGCATTTTGTGCAAAACCAAGCGGCCAGTGTAGACAGCTGGCAAGTTTTTCCACAAAAGCAGCCGCTTTTGCATCATGGAGGGCAAATATGAGGGGAGCTGGATTTGTGGCTTTATGTTCCCTGAGTAGGCTGTTAGGGTATGTCTACACTACAGAGTTAGTTCGAACTAACGTACATTAGTTCGAACTAACTTTCATAGGCGCTACACTAGCGCTCCGCTAGTTCGAACTTAATTCGAACTAGCGGAGCGCTTAGTTCGAACTAGGTAAACCTCATTTTACGAGGATTAAGCCTAGTTCGAACTAGCTAGTTCGAATTAAGGGCTGTGTAGACCCTTAATTCGAACTAGTGGGAGGCTAGCCCTCCCCAGAGCGCTTAGTTCGAACTAGGTAAACCTCATTTTACGAGGATTAAGCCTAGTTCGAACTAGCTAGTTCGAATTAAGGGGTGTGTAGCCCCTTAATTCAAACTAGTGGGAGGCTAGCCCTCCCCAGGTTTCCCTGGTGGCCACTCTGGCCAACACCAGGGAAACTCTTCTGCACCCGTCCCGCCCCGGACCCCTTAAAGGGGCACGGGCTGGCTACGGTGCCCGTGCCAGGTGCAAGCCTGCCAGCACCCAGC